GGAAAAAAAACAGGCCACAGAATAGTGAGTATAGAACCTTTTAAATAAACCGTGGGAGAACTGAGTATCCATATTTGTATCTATTTATATTTGCATTAACAAATGCCAAATGGCCATATTAAAAAAGAACAATAGTCTTTATGTTGTGAAGGGGGTGGTACTGGAAGAACAAGGCCTTGAATGAGGTGAAGAACTGTCATTTTTGGAGTCTTAGCAGAGGCTTCCCTGAATTGGGAGAGGAGGAGCCACTTTAAGGAGGCAGCTACACTTAGGGGCAGACATCGAAAAGATGCCCAGATCTTGGCTTCTGGACGCCGCCGTGGCCCCACTCGAAAGGACAGGCTCTGTTTGTTTGTTTTTAAATCATGCTATTGTTGTATACAAGAAGTTTCTCATTCTTAGGAAGTACTCAGGGGTAAAGGGGAATGATGTCTGCAAACTCAGTTTTAACTGTTTCAGGAGAAATAAATCTCTATGTGTAAAGAGAGCAAGTGATAGAGCAAATGGAAGGACATGTTAGCAACCGGTGAATGCAGGTCGAGGCTCTGTGGGAGCTCTTTGATAGGAGGCTGAAAGGACATGAAGTTGATGTTACAACGAACACGGGAGAGGGTTCCTCTCTGCGGGTTCCACCTGGGCTGTGAGGTGGGACAGTGGGGTCCTTGGCTGAGAATGAGAGAGGAAGGGGGCCCCCGAGGTTCGGGGAGAGTGGAGAGATCTGAAGTCACGGGAAAGAGTGAGGGATCAGCAGAGCAGAGAACAGTTGAAGAACAGTTGAGACCAGGGTGGACAGGCGTGTCCATCGGGAGGTGGACAAGGAGGTAGAGGTGGCACGAGGCCTCGACAGGACTCAGTTCGGTGTCTCTGACGGATTCCACCTTCTGGAGCCCGGCACCTTGCCCTGCCTCGGCCACGTAGGAAGGAAGACCTTCAGACCGAAAGAATCAAGAGGAACATTCCTAGTGTGGCCTCGCTCAGCGCTCAGCTGGCGGGGACAGGCCAAGCCGAGAGTTGGGGGGTGACCTGCCAGGATGGGCGCCCCTCCCCCAGCTCCAGGGCTGTCTTCCTGAGGCTGCCCGCCCTCCCAGCATCCTCTCTGGACCCCTTGCCCGGGCTCCACCCAGACTGGTGGCACTCACGTGGACGTAGGGCTTCACCCTGTTACAGGGAAACCAGCCAACTTCATTGGTAGCTGTGTTCCTGCCCTAAAAACGCAGGAGACAAAAACAGGGACAGAGAGTTAATACGTGTGTGTGTGTCTACCTCTTTACTCTGTGGCCACTCTGCTTTGCCACCTGTCGCCGGGTGGTCTAGAGGGCCCAGAGAGGTACCAGCCAGTGTCAACCTCCCAGGAAGATGGCCAGCTCAGAAGAGCCACCAAGCCAACCCCAAAAATCCCAATCCATAGCATCACCCCCAGGCAGCACCTCCAGAGCCCAGTGGGACTGCGACCCCACTCCCCGGGGCCACCTGAACCCCTCCCCCCCACACCAGCATCCTGCCCGGCGGGACCACGGCCCAGCGCCTACCTCCCACCAGTTCTGCTCAGCCTCCGCCTTGGTCAGCTCCACGATGTCGCCGGGGTTGAGCCGCAGAAAAGGCCCAAAGGCACCGGGGGGCGGAGGAAGCCCATAGTATTCCTGAAACACCTCCATCTTGGGGAGGCCTGGGGGACGGGGAGGGTGTTGGTACCAGGTGGTTGGCAGTCAAGGACGCCCAAACCTGAGCCTTGCCACCCCCAGAACGGCTGGAACATAAAGAGACTGGCATCATCAAACAAGTGTTGGCAGGGATGCAGACCAACAGGGACACTGCCGGCGGGGGAGGGGGGGAGGGGATCCACTTCGGAAACCTGTTCGTCAGTATCTGCCCATGACTTTTGGGGGACATGTTCGCATATGCCGGCAACCCAGCAACCTAGGAAAAATGCCGACACGTCCTCCAAAAGTCGTGGGCGAAAATGTCCCCAACGGCTTTATTCACAATAACCCAACACGGGCAACAAGCCAAATGTCCTCAGCAGGTTTGATTATCGATAGCAAATGGTGATACAATCACATAGTGGAATACTACGCAGCAATGAAAAAGGGATGAGCCACTGCCGCAGGCAGCCGCATCCACATATCTCACCAGCCATGTGCCTAGACAGCTAAGACTACAGAAGGTGGGGTGGAGGTAGAGCTCGCTTGGACGACATTGGATGGACATCAAAGAGGACCTTATGCGGCGTTCGTGCTCACGCCTGTAATCCTAGCACTTCTGGACCGAGCCGGGTCGATTGCTCAAGGTCAGGATCGACAACAGCCTTGAGCGAAGACCCCGTCTCTACAAAAATAGAAATAAATTAATTGACGACTAAAAATATATATACAGCACAAAAAATTATCCGGCATGGTGGTCGCATGCCTGTAGTCCCAGCTACTCGGAGGCTGTGAGGCAGGAGGATCGCTTGAGCCAGGATTGGAGTTGCTGTGAGCTAGGCTGACGCCACGGCACTCACTCTAGCCTGGCAAAAGCAAGACTCCTGTCTCAAAAAAAAAAGGCTTAACCAGTATTGCTACGCCCCATGCATTCCCTTGATGGTGCTTGAGCAAAGCAGGGAATGAAGTTGAGTCGGTTCTGTTTAAACTGCTTTCGAGTTTCTGGTCCTGGGACACACGGATGGCCGCGTTATAAGCGGGACCTTACGTGGGCGCTACTATGGTGATGGAGATCTGTCCCTGGAGGAGATCGGTCCCCCCTCTCCCCCACCCACACACAGCGCCCCCTGCTGACTCACCCAGGTCATTCCTCTTTTTGTCCTGAGCCCTTCGGTGCAGTTTGTCCTGGCAGGAGAGACCAAGAGAGCACCGTGGCTACCTGTGCTCATCCCTGTCCTCTCATCCAACACGGGGCCACGCCCGCTGCGGGGGTCCCCTGGGTGCTCCCCGCCTGGCCTTCCAGACTCCCCGTGCACGGAGGTGTGCGTGGGGGTGGGGGTGGGCTCTTACCTTCTTCATAGTCCCTGAGAAATCTACGGGAGGGAAAAAGGAGCAGTCAGCATGGGGAATGCCCCACGGAGACCCAAGCCTGCCCCCCACCCTGCCCCGGTCCCCATGCTACCTTGTCCGTGCCGGCCACACGGAGGCACCCTCCCCAGACACTCCTTGTGCGCAGGCGCCCGGCACCGATGGCAGCGGTAGCCCTGGTAGAAGGTGCCCCTGGGGTGCAGGGCAGAGAGAAGGAAAAGTCATCCTCGAGGGCCAGGACAGCCACGCTGCCCCCTTGGGTTCTCTTTTGAGCCAGAGAGCGATGGAGAAAGTCGAAGGAAGGCTCCCCCACCTCCCAAATCTAGGAGACCAATGACTGGGGGGGTGGGGGGCTCCTCTGGGACAGGAAGGGCTGACCACGCCCGGGATCCAGGCCCATCCTCCCTGCCGCCCACCTCAGCAGCATCTGGCAAGCCTTGCAGGACGTGGTCTCTTCGAAGGAGAACATCTGGAAGTCGTGCCCATTGGCGGTGGCGTTCTCAGGGTAGATGTTGGAGCTGGCGAGGGGAATGGAACAAGACAGGGCCAATATTTCATCCCTTTTCAGAGCTGCATACTATTCCGTGGGCTGATAGAGCACACTTGGTTGGTCCATTCACCCACCGATCCACATTTGGGCTGTCTCCGCCCTGTGGCTATTGTGAATAACGCTGCTCTCAGCACCGGCCCAGAGAGAAAGATGAGTAGTAATAGGGTCCAGGGGCTGGGACGGGGGGAATCGGGGAGTGACTGTTTAATGGGTGTAAAGTTTCCTTTGGGGGTGGCGAAAAAGGTTTTGGAACTAGATAGAGCTGGGGGTTGCACAGCAATGTAAATGTATGAAATGCCACAAAACTGTACGCTTTCATATGGTTGGTTTTTTGTTATGTGAATTTCACCTCAATATAAAAAGATGGAGGCCGGGCGCGGTGGCTCATGCCTGTAATCCTAGCTCTCTGGGAGGCCGAGGCGGCAGGATCGCTCGAGGCCAGGAGTTCCAGACCAGCCTGAGCAAGAGCGAGACCCCGTCTCTACTATAAATAGAAAGAAATTAATTGGCCAACTAATATATAGAGAAAAAAATATTAGCCGGGCATGGTGGCGCATGCCTGTAGTCCCAGCTACTCGGGAGGCTGAGGCAGGAGGATCGCTTGAGCCCAGGAGTCTGAGGTTGCTGTGAGCTAGGCTGACGCCACGGCACTCACTCTAGCCTGGGCAACAAAGCGAGACTCTGTCTCAAAAATAAATAAATAAAAATAAAAAGATAGAAATGGAGGAGGAGGAGGAGGAGGAAGAGAAAACAGCAGGCTGGTGGCTGAAGTTTGCACAAAACCTCACAATTCCTCAGTTGCAGACAGCCTTGAGCCTGACCCTCCCATTTCTCAGATAAGGAAGCTGAGGTTCAGAGTGGTCCCATGGCATGTCAGGGCAGACATGCTCTAGGGAGACTAGAGCACAGGCCTGCCTCCGAGCCCCTAGCCCCACGAGACAGAGCCCTCTGAGGACAGAAAGAGGGAGGGAAGGAGGACTCACATGGCCATCTCAAACTGCTCCATCCACTTCTTCTTCAGTTCTCGAGTCTTGAAGAACAGCTCATAGCCCTGGGCACCTTGGTCCTCGATCAGGAGAAACATGTGGCTCCACTGCAGGGAAGCAGAGCTCAGACTCACCGACCGCTCCCCCTGCGGGGAGCCCAGGGTCCGGCCCATGACAGTCTCTCCGCCCCTGGCACCTTCGCAGAACGCACAACAGACACGGCGTGTCATTCATCCATTTGTCTACTCAACAAACGTTTGCTGAGCGCCTGCTGAGAGACAGGCACCTTGCTAGGAGCTGGGACGTAGCAGGGCACACTGTCCCCAGGGCTGCAGCCTGGTGGGGGAGACGCGCCCATCAACAGGCAACTACGAGAAAGCGGTCAGCCCCTCCCGTGGGGGACACGGGGGCTGAGAAACAGGGAAGCAGCAGACCAGGACACAGGGGGGACCTCCAGGAGGACGACAGGGACAGGAAAAGAGCAAGAAGGAGAAAGAGTGGAAGGAAGTGGGGATGCCAAGAGGGAGGGAAGCCTCGGCTCACAGAGAACGCTCCTGGCCAGTGGGGGTAAGACAGCCCCCACCCCCACCCCACCCTGGCTCACCAGGGTCACACCCCTGTTTTATGTTCTTTGTAGAATGCATCCCATGAGAAAGTAAGTACCATACAAGAGGGGACCACGTCTGCTTTGTTTTCCATTTTTCTCCTAGTGCCTAGAAAAGTGCCCAGGACAAAGTAGCTGCTCACTTAAACGCCTGCGAGTGGCTTCATTATCACACGCGCCCATGTGCTCACAAACACACCCATGCGTCCGAGTGGAGAGCCCCAAGCCGCCCTGCTCGCCGCCGCCCCCAGTCCTAGCGTCACTCCCCCACCTTTTTGTTGTCTTTCTCTCCGGAGGAGTCATCCCGAACCTGGAAACTGTGCAGGTTCACAAAGTCCTTGAGGTCGTAGGAGTCGCCCCGGCGCTTACAGATGAGCAGCGCTTTGTCGAGCAGGAAGGCGTACCTGGGAGCGGATGGGTGCGGTGCCTCTGTCTGGCTCCTCCCAGCTGTCCCCAAACCTCTGCCCCGTTCCCTCCACCTTCCTGGCCCCACCTTGCCCTTCTCCTCCTTGGCCAACTTGGCCGTGCCCGCCTGTCCGTAGAAACCTCACCCACGTGGATCCGTGTCGGCCCCACCACCTGCTGGTCTTAGCTCCAACCTACACATCCACCCTGGCCCTGCCCGGCCTGTCCAGCAAGGCTCCGGCTCCACCCCCTTGTTTGGATGGGCCCACCCACCAATCTAAAAATCACACCAAGGCTCCTCCCCAAATCCACGTTGACTCCGCCCACAAGTCTATCTAGGAACCGGGCCGGGCCCTACCCATGTTCCACCTGATTTGTGTTAGCTCCGCCCACCTGTCCATCTAGGGGCCTGGCCCCGCCTCTGCCCAGGCTCCAACACAGATCTCTGTTGGCTCCGCCCACTTGACTATTTAGGAGCCTGGTCCCACCCCCACCCAGGCTCCACCCCCGGACCCATGTTGGCCCCACCCACCTGTGTATCTAGGAGTTTAGCCCCACCCCACCCAGGCTCCACCCCCAGACTCACGTTGGCCCCACCCACCTGTCTATCTAGGAGTTTAGCCCCACCCCACCCAGGCTCCACCCCCAGACTCACGTTGGCCCCACCCACCTGTCTTTCTAGGAGCTTAGTCCCACCCCACCCAGGCTCCACCCCCAGACTCACGTTGGCCCCACCCACCTGTCTATCTAGGAGCTTAGTCCCACCCCACCCAGGCTCCACCCCCAGACCCACGTTGGCCCCACCCACCTGTCTATCTAGGAGCTTAGTCCCACCCCACCCACCTGTCCATCTTGGAGCGCCGTTCCACCGAGGTGATCTTGAGCTCCCCGTCGATCTTGGGCCGGCCGTAGTGGGCCAGAGACTGGTCCTAGACAGCATGCAGGGCGTCTGGCAAGCGGTCGCCCGCCGAGAGGGGACCAGGCACGCCCTCCCCGTCCCGTGCGGCCACGCCCCGGGCCCAGCCAGCCGCCCGCCTCACCAGGTTCTCAATGCACAGCTGGAAGTTGGTGATCTGCCGCAGCGTCTCGTTGTCCCTCTTGACCTCGTTCACGCACTGCGCCAGGTCCTGGGCGTGCGACAGAGGTGAGCCTGGCCCCACCCCAGCACCCCGCCCAGCCTCCTGCCTGGACCCGGGGTGGAAGGTCAGCCCCGACCAGCAGGCTTAGAGAGGGCGACTGTCACCCGCAGCGCACTCACCCTCATGGCGTCCAGGGACAGTCGCAGGTTCTCCTTCTCCATCGCGTCCTGCGTGTGTTTCACCAGCTCCTGCGTGACCCGGAGGAGTCAGACGTCACCTGGGCCCCCCTTCTCTGGGAGGGGGCCTTCCGAACAATGCTAGCTTCCCCTAACCCTAACCCTCACCCTGCCGTCTCGGGGGGCTGGGACATGACCCAAATGACCCCTCCCAGAGGGACCTAGAGCCCCCAGCAGCCAGCCTGCCCCGCCCCACCCTTACAGACACCCGAGAGGGGACAGCCCAGGCCCACGCCCGGGGCGTGCCCAGCACCTGGAGAAGCAGGTGGTACTTGAGTACCCGCTGCATGGGGACCATCAGCAGATCGCGCAGGGTGAACCTCCCGTTGTTCGCTCGCTGAGAACATTCCTGGGGGCGGGTCAGAGAACACAGGCATCAAGACCAGGTGGAAGCAGGTGCTGGGGATGAGCCGGTAGCAGGGCAGATCTGAATAGATACATGGGCAGCGCTCCACCCCCAGAGCTGTGTGGATTTTTCTAGAGCCCCCAAAAGATGAGCAAAAAGGATGCCATGAGGTGAGGGGCAGTTTAACAACTGCTGGGAGGAGGCTGGCAAATGCCGCGTCTGTGTTTCCGCTGGACGCAGGGACCCAAGGTTGGGGTTCAGTTCCAGATCAGGGCTCAGCCTGGGATCAGGGGTTGGTGGTGGGATCGGGGCTCAGTATGAAGTTGGAGTTCAGCCCGGCCTGGGGCACGATGGGTGCCGGGGCTCAGCCTGGGGCTGGGGTTCGGTCTGGGGGGCCGCAGAGCTCTGTTTAGGGCCAGGATGTGAGCCCAGACTGGAGGCCGGCCCAGTTCCCTTCTGCTCCATCTCCTCCACCCGGCTGGCCGGTACCTCCCTCCCCACACTGCCCAGCCCTTGCGTGGACCCCTGGCTGGGCTGCAGCAGAAAGGGGAGCCATCTGCAACCCGGTCCCCTCCCCGCTGCCCCTCGGGCCTGGGGAGGAGCGGGAGAGCCCCCCGCAGAGGTGGCCGGCCCCCACCTCCAGCTTCATCTGCACGTCCTCCCGGGCTGTAGCGACCTGGTCCAGGTGCTTGCTGGCCGACTCCACCTGGCTGCAGTAGCGGCCGTAGATGAGGAACCTACAGGAAGAGGACAGACCGCCAGGTGAGGTTGGCCGGCACCAAGGTCAGGCAGATCTAGGTGTCGGTCCTGGCCTCCATCTTGACCCTGGGTCTCGCCCTCCCCATCTGTGAAATGGGCATGACAACAGCACCTCCCACAAGAGGTCATCGCACCGTTAAACGAAGTAACACACAAGTTCCTGCCACAGTGCCTGGCACATCATACCACCTCTTCCCGCAGCTTGTTTATTTAACAAACACTTACTGAGCACCTACTGTATGCCAGGCCCTGTGCTAAGCACTTTATGCATCCATTGATTCAACCCTCACAACCCTAGGAGGTGCGTTCCTGTACCACAGTAAAGCACAGAGAGGTTGTGTGGCTACCCAGCGCCACACAGCAGAGCTGGGAACGAAACCAGAGGTGGGCAGCCCCCTCGGCCATGAGCACACAGCCAAAAGTCGTCCCTGTCCAGTGGTCTCTGAGGGTGAGGTCTCCCAGATGACCAGCCCGGGCAGGGCAGTGAGCCCTCCCACCAGGCTCACCTCTCCTTGTATTTGATGAAGACTTGGTAGAGGCTGGACGCGCCGGGGCTGGCCAGGGCCTCCTTCATCTCCTTTAGGAAGTGCGTGTGCACACGAAGCAGGTCCTACTCGCAGGGAAGGGCCAGGGCTGGGACCAGAGCCTGGGGAGGGGCCTCCACCCAGCCCGCGCTGCTCAGCTCCCGACTCCCACGGCCCAGGGACAGAAGGGGCCGGCAGACCACCCCCTCTGGGCAAAGGCCGGCTCACCTCAATGTTGATAAAGATAATCTCGATGTCTTGGGGTTTGAGGAACCGTTGCAGGGGCTTCAGGAAGTGCTGTGAGACCAGAGAGAGAAGGAAAGAACATGAGACCCCCTCTCTCCAGCCTGGCCCCAGAGAGACAGGGACAAGGAGACAGAGACAGCAAGAGACAAACAAAAACAGAGAGACAGAGAGAGAAAGAGACAAGGAGACAGAGACAGAGAAAGAGACAGAGAGGAAAGAGATGTAGAATGCCCACATAAAAACTTGTACAGGAGGCCAGGCACAGTGGCTCACGCCTGTAATCCCAGCACTTTGGGAGGCCGAGGCAGGAGATTTACTTGAGCCCAGGAGTTCAAGACCAGCCTGGGCAACATAGCAAGACCCCATCTCTATTAAAAAAAAAAAATGTAAAATTAGCCAGGCACAGTGGCGTGCACCTGTAGTCCCAGCTACTCGGGAGGCTGAGGGGGGTCGAGGCTGCAGGGAGCTATGGGCACACTCCAGCCTGGGTGACAGAGCGAGACCCCATCTCTTAAACATTACGTTACGTTAATTAAATCTTCATAAGGCTGTTTTTAGAAGAAATAGACGGAGGAATGAGATTCAATAGGGAGAACGTAAGAGAGGCAATAGCAGAGGCAGACAGACAGACAGACAGACAGGAGGAAAAGTCGGAGGAACACAAAGCAGCGGGACAAGGAGAGGCCTTGGCGCGGCCCCAGAGGCGGCCAGACAGGTGGACGCGCACCTGCCGGCCCAGCGCCCGCGCATGCGCCGTGCGGGCGGGCGGGCGGGGCGGGGCTCGCACCTGCTGGATGGAGCCCAGCGTGTCCGTGTACTTCTCCTCCGTCTGCTGGATCTCCCGCAGGCAGCAGCACCGCTTGTCGTACTCTGTCATCTTGGGCTGATGGACAGGCGGGAAGGGCAGGCTGGTGTTGGGGGAGGGGGGTCCCCGGAGCTGGGCCCCCCCCCCCGTGACCCTGCGCCCCCCAGCCCCCACCTGCCCAGGCCCGCCCCACACACCGGCATGGGCACCGGCTCGGAGCGCATGAGGTCCTCGTAGATCTCGTCGCCTTCGGCCTCCTCGTTCTCCACGCAGTCGTACAGGTCCTCGTCGTCCTCCACCGTGTCGCTGCAGGACGCGGAGTCAGGCGGGGCCACCGCATCGCCCGGACCCCCCCAGGTCAAGATCCCCTCCGACCCCAGGGAAGGGCCATGTCCCCTCCCCCACTCCGCCCCCCCCCAAGATCGTGCTCCAAGGCGTCCTGCGGACCCCAACACTCACTCGATCTGGTCGGACAGGCCGCTGTAGATGTCGTCGTCACCCACGTTGTCCTCCTCAGTGGGGAAGGGCCTGCGGGAGGGGGGGTGGAAGGTGTGGGCTGGGGCCTGGGGGCTGGCGGGAGGAGGGCTTCGAGGAAGCCGGGGACTGGGGCCGGACGCCCCAAAGCCCAGGGGGCTACTCACATGATCCCCTTGTTCTGGGCAATCGGCGTCCAGGACAGAGCGGACAGGGTGTAGATGACCTGCGACAGGGACCGCAGCTGCTCAGCAAGCCCTTACCTACTCCCGCGGCAGAACTCAGCCTCGACCCCGACGGTCCGAGGCTAGACCTTGAGGCCGGCCCCCACGCCTGGTGGAGCCTAACTCAGGATTAGCTCTACCTGCCCACCCTCTCCCCCCACCCCCAACGCCATGTCCCCTTAATCAAGCTCCCCGTCCTCTATCTGACCCTCGCCCGCCATTCAGAGAGGACGGGACGACAGTATTCCCATGTTACAGATGACGAACCCAGGGCTCAGAGAGGCACAGCCACGTACCCAAGGTCACACAGCGATGGGTGGGGCAGAGACTCAAACCCAGTCCCATGTGTTCCAAGCCAGTGCCATTTGCACCCTGTGTGATGGTTGGTTCTGGCTCATCTGCCCGTCTCCTGACAGCCCTAGGCTTGTCCAGTGTAGACACTAATGCGCAAATGAATCGAAACCCAGCCTTTGGGCTCTAGGTGCCTGGCTCACCTTCCCGAAATCCTGCACATCGAAGAGGTCGAAAGCCTCAAAGAGCTCGCTCCGCTTGAGCCCAAACTTCTCACAGCAGGTGGACAGGAAGGTCCGAATGTTCTTGAGGCAAAGGAACTGTGGAAGGAGAGAGAAGTGAGGGGGAGGGAGGGGCGGAAAGGGCAGAGGATAAACTGAGCCCTAGGCAGCTTGGCGTGGAGGGGGAAATGCAAGCGCAAAGCCCCCTCCACGAAACTACACTCTCTTCTCGTAAAGATCAAGCCGTGCCTGAAGCCCACATGTACCCCATGATTCTTTTTTTTTTTTTTATTGAGGTCAAGTTGACCAAACATAAAATGAATCACAAACAGGCAAACAAATGTGCTCTATCCACGCCACGGAATGTTATTCCGCCACAACAAGGAATGAAACGCCAACACATGCTACAATGTGGATGACCCTCAAAAACAGTCTGCTAAGATAAAAAAAAAAAAAAAAGCCAGACACAAAAGTCCACATAGTATATAATTTCATGTGTATGAAATATCCCTGAACTCTTGGGTTTCAGGAGCCAAAAGACCACATACTGTATGATTCCATTCATAGGGAAGAAATGTCCAGAAGAGTCTTGGAGACAAGAAGTCCAAGGTCAGGGTGCTGCCAGGGTTTGTTTCTTCTGGGGGTCTCTCTCCTTGGCAAAGCAGATGGGCCACCTTCTCCCTGAGCCCTAACGTGGTCTTCCTTCTGTCTGCGCCTGCCTGTGTCCTCGTGTCCTCTTCTTTTAAGGACACCAGTCATGTCGGGTTAAGGCCCACCCTAATGACCTCATTTTAACTTAAGTGCCTCTGTAACAACCCTATCTCCAAATACAGCTACATTCAGAGGCACTGGAAGTTACAACTACAGCATTTAAGTTTTGGAGGCCCACAGTTCAACCCCTAACACAAGAGAAAATGTATTCCAAGAAGAGGGAACAGCTTGTGCAAAGGCCCTGGGGCAGGATCGCGTTTGGTGCATTGGAGGAACAGCAAGGGGGCTGGTGTGGCTAGAATAGAGTGAGTGAGGGGGAGAGAGGGAGGAAAGGGAGGGAAGGGAGACTGACGGGAGCATTTATTATGAGATGTAGTATTTTGTTATGGCAGCCCAAGCAGGCGAATACACCTTGTTGTCCACAAGATTCCCTGCTACCTTCTTTGCCTTTGCTCAAAGTTCACTCCGGTGAGACCTCCTCGGACCACCCTACATAAAATCACACCCCGACTCTGGCATTTTGTACCCCCACTCCTGTGCTTCATGTGTTCTGTTTACCATCCTTCTCCCCCAAATAAAATGTCAGTTTGAGGAAGGCAGGGCCATCATCTGGTTCTTTGGCCGATGCCTGGAACCTACAACTGTGCCTGGCATGGAGAAGACCCTCCACGTATATCTGTCAAGCGAATGGATCACAGTGGCGCCTGGGAATGTGCATTTGAACAACCTCTCCAGATGATTCTGATATAATAGCTAACTCCTGCTCTGCGCCTTGACCGTGACATTCTTTGCATTTCTTGAATGCCTACTACCTGTGGCTGGGCCCCCAGATGAATTCACACGTCAGATATGCTGTATTATCATTTGCTACAGAAAAGATCCCATTGGGACGAAGCTTTCCCAGATTTCTTTTTTTTTTTTTTTTTTTGAGACAGAGCTCACTTTGTTTGCCCAGGGCTAGTTGAGTGCCGTGAATTCAGCTACTCACACACCTCAAAACTCCTCTCAGCAATCCTCCTCCTCCAGCTCTGAGGTAGCTGGGATAAGGCTTCGACCATGCCGGTAATTTTTTCTATATATATTAGTTCCAATTATCTTTCCTATTTATAGTAGAGACGGGGTCTCGCTCTTGCTCAGGCTGGTTTCGAACTCTTGACCTCGAGCAATCCTCCCGCCTCAGCCTCCCAGAGTGCTAGGATTACAGGCGTGAGCCACCGCGCCCGGCCCCAAGATTATTAATAGCAAGAGTAAGTCAGTAGAGGGGCTGAGCTGCAAGACGACGTGAATCTAGGGCCCAAGTCTCCGAACCCCAAATGCTCCCCCTACACGTAGCGGACATGAGCACCCGCCTGCCCTGGGCTCAGTTCCCGGCACCATGCAGAGAGAACGTGGCATCTTTGCGACCACCCTGCAAGGTAAGTACTCATTTCACAGTTCAGGAAACTGTGGCAGGGACACACAGCCAGGACGCAGACTCGGGTGGCTTTGGAGCCTGAATGTAATCGCTACGCCACGGCTGCCCGTACGAAATGACGCGATCCCCGGTGTTTGTCGTATGGGTGTTCCTCTTCCATCTTCACACTGTATCTTCTCAATTACGGCCACATCCACAGTCTAGCTGACCCATTATATATGGAGCATGAACTTTTTAAATTCACGTGAACTTGCATAAACGTATTTAAGAAGAGAACGTTACTTCCCACTACAAAAAGAAACTAAGACCATTTGCTACAAGCAGAAGCAACTTTTCTTTCCATTTGATCCAGCAATTCCACTACTGGGCATCTACCCAAAAGATCACTTTATGAAAGTCAAAGGTCACTTTGTGAAAAAGACACCTGCACTCGAATGTTTATAGCAGCACAATTCACAATTGCAAAGCTGTGGAAATAGCCCAAGTGCCCATTAATTGATGAGTGGATTAATAAAATGTGGTATATGTACACCATGGAGTTCTACTCAGCTTTAAGAAACAATGGTGATCTAGCACCTCTTGTATATTCCTGGATAGAGCTGGAACCCATTCTACTAAGTGAAGTATCTCAAGAATGGAAAAACCAGCACCACATGTACTCACCAGCAAATTGGTATTAATGGATCAACACCTAAGTGGACACATAAGAATAACATTTATCGGGTGTCAAGAGGGTGGGAGGGGGAGGAGGGGATGGGTGCATACAACCACAACGAGTAAGATGTACAACGTTTGGGGGATGGACATGCTTAAAGCTCTTACTCCAGGGTGAAGGGGGGGCATGGGCAATATATGTAACCTTAACACTTGTACCCCCATAATGCCCTAAAATTAAAAAAATGTTTTTAAAAAAAGAAGCAACTATAAAACAAATAGGATTGAAACAATGTGACTTAATTATAGCTAGATTCAGTGGCTTGGCCAGGGCTTTGACCCAAGACTGTCCTCTCTGTCAAAAAGAGAAATTTGCAACAGAGACACGTAAATGACAGAGGAGCAATGCAACATTCATTAGTGATAAAAAAAGAAAAGAAAAGAAAGGAAAGAAAGAAAGAAAGAAAGAAAGAAAGAAAGAAAGAAAGAAAGAAAGAAAGAAAGAAAGAAAGAAAGAAAGAAAGAAAGAAGAGACAAAAATAATTCTCAGCTAAGTAAGGATGGAAGGGAAATTCTGTAAGTTGATAAAAAAAAAAAAAACACCTGCAAAAAACACAGAGCAAAATATGTTACTTAATAACAACATGTTGAAAAGATTTCCTTTGAAATCAGAACAAAGGCAAGGATGCTGGCTGTCACAATTTCTATTCAACATTGTTTTGAAGATCTCAGCTGGCAATGCAAGACAAGACAAAGAAAAAAAAGGAAAGAAAGAAATACTAGTGGCCAGTTTTGCAGAAGAAACAATCATTGACCTACAAAGCCCCAAAGACTATCCAGATAAATCGCTGTGATTCATAAAAATTATCTGGGAGTGTTGCAGAATACAAAACCAATACACAGAGTCCACTGTGTGTCAGTAGGTCAACAACGATTGCTCAGAAAATGTTACCTTTAAAAACATTTAAAAAAAAAAAAGGTAACGTTGTGAAATCTGAGAACAACAAAACTAACCTAGAGTGATAGAAATCACGACAGTGGTTGCTTCTGGGGCAGAAGGGAAGATAGAGATTGACTCAGAGAGGCCACAAGTGATGGAAATGTTCAGTGTCTTGATAAGCGTGGGGATTGCACAAGCGTATGCAGTTGGTAGAACTAACTGAATGGCACACTGAAGAATTTAGCATTTCGCTGCAGGGAGATCAGACTTCGATTTTAAAAAGGCACCATTAGGCCAGGCACGGTGGCTCACGCCTGTAATCCCAGCACCCTGGGAGGCCAAGGTGGGAGGATCGCTCAAGGTCAGGAGTTCGAGACCAGCCTGAGCAAGAGCGAGACCCCCGTCTCTACTAAAAATAGAAAGAAATTGATTGGCCAACTAAAAATATATAGAGAAAAAATTAGCCGGGCGCAAAAATTAGGTGGCGCATGCCTGTAGTCCCAGCTACTCGGGAGGCCGAGGCAGGAGGATCGCTTGAGCCCAGGAGTTTGAGGTTGCCATGAGCTAGGCCTGACGCCACGACACTCCTACCCTGGGCAAAAGAGTGAGATGCTTGTCTCAAAAAAAAAAAAAATAAAAGGGCACCATTTATTTACCATAGGCTAAAAGATGTACAACTAACCAGCATATAAAGCTAGTAACATCTAACAAATCAAACAAAAAGCTGTGCGAATCACTCATGAAGAAAATTATAAAATTTTATCAAAAGACATGAAAGAAGACCTAAATAGAATAGAAAGTATTCCGCATTATTTTCTCTTCTTTTCTCTTTCTTTTCTAGGAAGATCATTTTTTAAAGCTCTCAACTCTCTCCCAAAATTGAACCTATAGATTCAATGCAATTGTAATTAAAACCTCCAAATGGTGTTTTCATTGAAGTTCACACACGAATCCAAAGACTTATATCAAAAAGCACATAATTTTGAACAGCAAGACACCCCTACAAAGGGAAAATAAAGTGTGGATATGAGTCCTACCAGATATCAAGACGTATCATAAATCGACAATAATTAAGACAATGCACTTGTAGTAGCCAGCCTCCAAGATGTAGCCCCCAATGGGTTACTCGGCAATAACAGTAATATAGGCCGGGTGCAGTGGCTCCACGCCTGTAATCTACGCCTCTGGGAGGCCAAGGCGGGGGATTGCTCGAGGTCAGGAGTTGAAAACCAGCCTGAGCAAGAGCGAGACCCCGTCTCTACTATAAATAGAAAGAAATTAATTGGCCAACTAATATATACTAGAAAAAATTAGCCGGGCATGGTGGCCATGCCTGTAGTCCCAGCTACTCGGAGGGCTGAGGCAGGAGGATCGCCTTGA